ATAGTGCAGCTAATGATTAAATTACATTAAAATTGTTAACAATATTATATTGTAAAATATAAGTGCATGTACAGTATATAAATACAATAGCTTTCTGTTCCTTGTCAAGAACATAAACCAATCACATACATTTTCAGTTTAATTTAGCTTATGCTAAACTATATTTCCATCTTAAATATATATTAATGTAAACCATACCTATTAAATCTCAGTTTTACACTCTGCATCTTAACTTGCTATTTATATTACAGTACTTTAAAAGTTGAATGAAGACTCTTATTATTCAGAAGAGGTTTCTGTCAGAATTTCCTATCTTTTAAATCTTTGGCAATGTTTCACAGGAACACTCTTATTATTCAGACTTAGTAGTTTTTCACTATGTGACATTTTAGTCTTATCCAAAGCAAGATACTCTGATTCCTGACTCTTTCTGTTTGAAAGAGCAGGCCACACAAATGCACTGTATGAGTGTTAAAGTAACAAAAATCCTACACTGTAGGAGAAAAATCGACATTGTGCAAAATACATTAATGAACATTTTAAAGATTCAAAAGATACAACATCGTTAGACATGGCAACACTGGCCCACTGCACAAACACACTACTTGTACCTGCTCAGTCAGTGGGAGTATGTGGCTCTGAGAATCTGCTCCTCCACAGGCTGCTCCCCCGGCAAACACGGCAGTAAGGGCTGTAAGGGCTTGTATCTGGGCCAGGTTACCCAAAGTATGATGGCTGAGATGAGATTCCTCAAACTTATCAAGCTTCTAAACAAGTTGTCTGGCTTTCAAAAGGATACGTTATGTGCCCAACCTCCCTCCTGGGAGGGAAAGTCAGGATCTGGGGAACGTAGTGCTGGGAGGGAGCAAGAGAAGGAATGTGTGAGATGAGAACCGAGAAGGGTAAAAGCTCTCAACTTGGTGGCAAACAAAACCCTGCATCCAGATTCACTACAGGTCAACACTTACAACCATTACACTCGTGGGCAGCAGGCACATGGTCTCATGTTTGGCTGAGTCTATCAGGCCAACAGGGACCTCAGCAGGGATTTTCTGTGCCTGTAACCATTAGGCCTGTGTTTGAAATCACACAGGTCCACTGTCTTTGAGACACCATTGTTAGTGTGGTCTTAGGCACCACTGTGGCAGAAATGGTACATGCAGCTCAGGAAACCTTCCAAGGAATTCTCCTGCTTCCCACCTGAAGTAACAACCCCAACAATTGAATATACCTTGATTCAATTCTTAGGTAACTCCACTGAACGCAGGCACATGTTCTTTTTAGCATCATTGCCAACTGATGTTCTTAAACTCCCTCCAATTCTCATCTTCTAAAATCAGGTGTGCCAACGGGGTTCAGCAAAACAAGCAGAAATTTGAGCTTCTGGAATGAATTGAATTCAGATATGAGCTTATGATATAGAGCTGTTTTGAATGAACAAAGCAGAGCATAAATAACAGCTCACAGCATGATGACAAGCAGCATGACTTAGATGAAAATTGAGAGCCAGGGACAGAGCAAGCCTTGCACTCTGAGCCAGAAAAGATCACCGGATGCAAGGCATAACAGTGACTTGCAAGAAAATGTCTTAGACAGGCAAAGAACGAGTGATTTTAATAAATATATACAAAATATATTTATTTATAAAAAATAAGAACCTTTCACTTAAGCTGATATGAGTTCAGCAATTATAATAGTAATACAAAACTTTAAATGGCAGAAAATTGAAGCTAAAAATTAGCCAAGTAAGGAATTCCTAAGTGAGCAGTAGGGTGAAGCATTAGGATGGAAGGCAGAAAATCATCCATGGACTCATCAGCCTCAGGAGGAAGAGCACTGACGCCACAACCCTGCAGAGGGACCGTAGGCACCACGGGTTCTGACAGAAACTTGACACAACAAAGAGCTGTCAACAGAGAGGGGACAGCAAGGAGATGAATCTCATCCAACTCCCCATTAAAAAATCTTGAAAAGTCTGATCAAGTTTATGGAGATTAAAGTAAAGAAGCATCTGTGTTGTAAAATCTAGTACATATGGAGGAAAACCCCATACTATGTGCTCTTCCAAAGGTGGCTTGTAAGACCAACAAGGTGAAAGAGGCCAAGTTCTCACTTGGCAGACTTATTCCCTGTGTAGCTGAGTCATTCTCAGTCATTTCAGTGATAATAAGTTTGCTGAGCCCCAGGCTGACGCCCTCCAGAGCCTGCCCAGCTGTGGGAACAAACAGATCCTCTCCATCCCTTGTGTGCCAGGAGAATTGCTCCAATGCTTTCCTTCAACATAAACTCATTAACAATAATAGCATCACGAGCTTTGAAAAAAATGGTGTAGCACAAATGATGCTGAGAGACTATCTAATCCTCACAGTGATCTTACTAACTATGATGACGAATGAAAAACAGAGTGCTGGGCTTGGTTTCCCAGGACTCTTTGGTTTCTCGGGGTTGGTAGTTGAAAACGACCAAAAAAAATGTTCTGTTCTGCAAAGCAATTGTATTAGACATCAAAATGGCGGAAAAAAAAAAAAATCAATAAAATCTGAACTTGCCAATGGCATTTTTATGTCAACATTTAGAGAAATTGATAGGTAAAAGATATGATTTAAAGATATGACCCGCAGCAGGAGAGAAGGCAAGCTGGAGTGGTGAACCATCCATTTCAGGGTTTATGTATATATACGTTTCAGAATGGTGAACCAGCAGCATTTCAGAGTTACATACCTGATGCCACTGTGACTTTTGGAGGTATTCAGATCTAGATTAAATTTAGATAGCATAGCTTAGACATAGATGTCTGGGTGTCTAAGCTCCTACAACAGTCACTGAAGCCTAGACAGCAAGTCAGCACACTTGACGTGCATCAAAATGGATCAAGACCAAGCCTCAAGGCAGGCATTTAATGTCATGTGTGACACCAGTGTTTCTGGGACATTTGCATGGAGGTGCACAGATGCCAGCAAAGATATGACTTATGAGAAACCTGTGCTTTTTCGGAGTAACAGCTGAAGATGGCACAAGGTACTGTTTAGACAAATTAACACTGTGGCTGCACAGTTAAATGACTCCAAGCCCCATGGCCTGTGCTGTCCAGGGGTTCAGTCCAGCTGCCAAGCACAGACACGCACTGCCCTTTGAGATGCCCCGGTGTGTCTTGTCTCCTACTGCTGATCAGGAAGGGCTCAGGTCTCTTGTCATATCTACAAATCACAGATGGATGTCTAGATGCTCTCATGCATCTCAAATGGCACCAATATTGACATTTATCCAACTTACTTGAGCCCTAGATTCTTTCTAAAGTTCATACTGATATTTTCTAAGACCATGACTCAGGTACCAAACCACAGCTGTCTACTGCTGTTTGAAATGCCCTTTGGTATCTAAGACATCCGTAATTACAGAATAGGTCAATATAACACAGGATCTACAGGAGGCCCAAACCTTCCTTGGACAACAGCAAGTGAATGTCATGCCAGATATCCCACAGTGACTAAAATGACAAGATATTCTTCTGTGCAGGCAACATATCCTACACCTAAATATTCCTATTGATACTTCTTAAGCTCCATTCAAGAACCATTCCCTGCTTTGTCCACATGCACCAAGCCCATGGCGAGGTCAGGGACTGGAACTGGAGAGGGATGGAAATTACTAAATGGCCTCGTTTCTGGTTGTGCTTCATTCACCTGCAACCACTTCTCTCACAGAGGCTTTTCATATCTTAGAAATTAATTTCTCTCCCCCATACTACAATTTAGAAGTATTCATTTTCAGCCTAATAAACACGAGTTTTTGAAAAAGGAAAACTACATTCTTGCATTCATTTTGTGTTTTACACTTGTGTAAAAGCAGTTTTGTCTCACAGACATCTAAGATATACAAAGATCTAAAATGTGAAGTGTTGGGTATAATGTGCATTTCTGTCAAACCTTTTAGAAATTACTTCTTCTCCATATATTAGAGGAGAATAATGGAATTTAGTGTTACCCATAACTAGCCACCTAGGGCCATTTTTTAAAAGAAATAAACATATTTAAAGCACTCGTAAAATTCAGGAACTGAAAAACTCAGGTTAAAAGGACTTGAACTTTCAGAAGTAGGAGTGGTCCTGAAGGTCAGCTTGTACAAGTACACGTCCCTGACAGCTAGATCCACAAGGGAATTTGGCCATGTGTGTGCTCGTCTGTTAGGGAGATAAGGATTCAAATTCTTCTTGACTTCCAGGAGGCTGAAATCTATCTTTCCAATGCAACAGCTACAGGCTCTCTGCTGGTGTTAGAGGACTTTCAAACCATTCTAGGTTTCTTATTTATAAAACCATTTTTCTGGTGGATCACTCTCAAGGACACTCGTGTACTACTTCTGCCTCAATTGTATTCACACAGGCCTCCCTAAAACGGGTTGGGTGTTTCTGGGTGCCTCACTGAGCACACCTTCAAAGGGCCTTGTATTAAAATGGGAAATATAAGTCCTTTTGCAAAATTGTTGAGAACAGGAAAGCTTATGCTGCCACTTTTGTTTTCATCTCGTAATTTAAAATTTAGATAGGAAGCACAGAACATCAATTTCTTCCATACCATTATCCAACACGCCATACTTAAAGTTAAGGTCAAGTCCATACCAAGCATATAAGGGCTTGTCCAATTTTTAGATTCTGTCTTTTTTGTTGCAGTTTTCCAAATGGGAACTGGAATTTCAGTGGGAACTCCTGGCTGCCTGTGTGCATTTAGAAATAAACTCATTTCCTAAGCAGAGGCACAAGACTCACTTTAAGTGTGCTCTCACCAAAACTCTTGGAGTGGAGGTGGGATTTTCCAGGAGTGCCTGTGTGACTTTGAAGTGAGATTTGTTATCAATGAAAAGTCAGCTCTTGATCTTGTCTAACAGTCTCAACTTACTCGCTGTTCCTCAGATAACTTCAAAGGTAAATTCTGCACTGAGACAGCTATTTCTTCAAGTGATGTAGTAGTGGTGACAGGCAGGATAACAGTGAGTTAGCAGGATAACGTTATTGTGGTATTTATTGATACAGAAGATTTAAGTTACAGAACATTAGGCAAACCCACCCTCTTACTTGCCCAATATTTGAGGATGAACAGTTATAGACAAGAAAATGATCCAGTAACTTATAGTGCAGCTAATGATTAAATTACATTAAAATTGTTAACAATATTATATTGTAAAATATAAGTGCATGTACAGTATATAAATACAATAGCTTTCTGTTCCTTGTCAAGAACATAAACCAATCACATACATTTTCAGTTTAATTTAGCTTATGCTAAACTATATTTCCATCTTAAATATATATTAATGTAAACCATACCTATTAAATCTCAGTTTTACACTCTGCATCTTAACTTGCTATTTATATTACAGTACTTTAAAAGTTGAATGAAGACTCTTATTATTCAGAAGAGGTTTCTGTCAGAATTTCCTATCTTTTAAATCTTTGGCAATGTTTCACAGGAACACTCTTATTATTCAGACTTAGTAGTTTTTCACTATGTGACATTTTAGTCTTATCCAAAGCAAGATACTCTGATTCCTGACTCTTTCTGTTTGAAAGAGCAGGCCACACAAATGCACTGTATGAGTGTTAAAGTAACAAAAATCCTACACTGTAGGAGAAAAATCGACATTGTGCAAAATACATTAATGAACATTTTAAAGATTCAAAAGATACAACATCGTTAGACATGGCAACACTGGCCCACTGCACAAACACACTACTTGTACCTGCTCAGTCAGTGGGAGTATGTGGCTCTGAGAATCTGCTCCTCCACAGGCTGCTCCCCCGGCAAACACGGCAGTAAGGGCTGTAAGGGCTTGTATCTGGGCCAGGTTACCCAAAGTATGATGGCTGAGATGAGATTCCTCAAACTTATCAAGCTTCTAAACAAGTTGTCTGGCTTTCAAAAGGATACGTTATGTTCACCTGGGTACCAAGGCCACCTATTTAGGTTCTTGGAACCCAGCTGAGCAAATCTTCATTGACAGTACCATATCAGCATTCACTTGCACGGCCAAAAATCCCCACCAAACTCTGACCTGGTCAAGTCCTGCTGCAGCCTGGCAGAAGCACCTTCTCAGAGTCGCTCACTCGGACACCATGGACGCAGAACAGATGGTATGAATGGACTTGACAGTCCTTTATTCTCCAAACACACAGGGGCAGAAAGATGCAAAACTAACAGGAAAAAACAACTTCCATTTCAATCCTATCAGTCCTACTAAAAATGTTCTATGTAGAAATATTTAATGTCAAGGAAAATATGGTGCACAAAACCATATCTATCAGCATGCAGTGTATGGTTTAGGTAAACAATAGATTCATCATGAAACAGATGGAAACGCTTAGATTCAATGTCTTTTAAAATGGCTTAAAGACTAAAAACTACTGTGTTTGCTCTGCTGTGGCACTTTCATACCAAAGGTTAATTCTCTTGTATCATACCCATAGAGACTCATCCCTTTAAAGTGCCTGCTGAGTATTTAACTTCGTCCATGTAAAAATGAAAATAAGAGCCTTGCTCAGAACTATTGCTTGAACAAACACGTGCAGTTTGAACTACATGCGATAACGAATCCCGATCAGAAATGCCCTCATCAACGCGGAGCTGAAAGTGCTCAAATACAGTCACCACATGGCAGATGACTGAGGAAATATTTTGAAGAGAAAATATAAATATAGGTATTGCTAGCAGTATATTACTCTAGCACTGTAATGCCAAATGGTAGATTTCTGAGGAATATACTGAAAGCAAGCAAAATATTACATATATTTCTATCTTAATTTATATGAATACAGTAGAGAGGTTTTGGCCTAACGTATTTCTTGGGGGAATGTTATAATTAAAAATATTCCTTAGAAAAAGGAGTTTCTTATAACAGGGATGAGTATGATAAATACAGTTCTAGTATTGTACAAAATATAGAGTGTTTTTAGAAATCAAGACCAAAAATATACCTTTAGCATTCAGAGTGAAAGTAATCTATGAAATGCGAGCCAGAAAGTCAAATATGAACCCTGAAAATCAGGATTTCGTCTGGGGACTCGGTGTGCAGGGTTGCTGAATAAAACTCATTTCTACCCAATTACCAACTTATCAACTTGTTCTTTTCTGATTCTAGAATGGACAGAAGAAGCAAAAATCAGTAAAGGGTGTGTTAGATCCTATTTAAGGCAGAATATAAGAATGCAAAAATAATTTTTATATGTCCAATAGAAATATAGATATGCAGTCTACAGACTTCTAGTAATATGTTAAAAAAATACCATATTTCATACATTTCTATAGTTGAAATCAATGATAAAGAAAAGGTGTAAAAAATGGGTTAGAACAGCAGTTACCAAAATGTATAAAAATAAATGACTTATCATTTGTGGTGTTGGATGTTTTTGCATCATTACAGAAAGTAATATTGCTCTGATAAACAACATCCTGTAAGTTTGGATTCAAAATCCAAAAGGGATATATAATTACTTTCTTAAAAAAAAAAGTCATGTCCTCACATGAATACCCCACATCTCATCTAAGCTGCACCTCCCTACAAAGTACCCGTAGTTGAAAGCAAGTCCTAAGACAACCCACATCTTCAGACAACTTGCAGGCAGGTGGTGCCCTCGAGGGAGAAAGAGCTTCAAAGCAGATCCCCCCCAGTGTCCCCCAGCTCACAGTGCTGTGGAATCACAAATCCTTTCACAAATAACCCAGTTTATACATTTGAAAGTATGGCACAAGCTCCACTCTAGATAGCAGCGTCTCATCCTTCCCTCTCTCACACAGAAATTAACATCGTGAATCTTTAGAGCTCCTGTGGACAGCAAGAGCTCCACGGCTCTACGGAGTATGACAGTTGGCATCTCCCTGGAGCAGGGTCTTGCCATGCTGAACACCTCATGGTACAGGAACATATAGTAACAGATCATGTAAGATGGCAAGAACACTCCAAACTGGTGATCTTTTGATCTAGTAAAAGATCCAGCCTTTACCTCTAAACCTTACAGCCTTGTCCATTCTTCAGCCTAGATGTTAAGCTAGTTGGCACGAAATAAAACTGCCTTTATGCTTACTGTCATGTAACCAACCACCAGCAGTGGTCAGCTCTACCAACCAGGGTGGGCTTGGTCCTTCCAATTGCTTGAAAACCCCCCAGTGTGACAAGACTGAACGGGAGCCACAGTCCTTCTGCACAGGACACAGCTACCCCCAGGAACCAGAGCCAGGCAACTGCAACTACCCAAAAACTTCTCCATGGCAAACATCTAAGTCCCCAGAATGGAAATTAAAAACACAGCTGCTCTTTTCTAAAGCTATAGTGCCTCTGGTTCACCAGGGTGCAATCCACCCCACCAGAGACAGCCATGAGGAGGTCTATGCATCACTGAGCTCCCACTCCAGCCCTTACAACAGAGCTGGTGTGAAAACAGGAGTGCTTAGTCTTGGTGCCTAGATATTAGGAATGGATTGACTTCCACCTTTTCTGAGGAGGAAGGCATCTTGACTTCCTTACAAAAACTCTTCTTTTTTTCTTGCCAATAACCTAAAATCGTATTTCCTTTCTATATTCATGTATATATTTTAAATCCTGACATCAATTTAGCTGATGAGCAGAAGTTGAGAGCAAAGGAGTCAATTCAGGTAGATCGGAAGGAATGAAGGAAAGAACAAACAACAGTGACAAAGGGCTGCATGCTATTTTTCAAAAATTCATGTGGAAATGGAATTTGTCCCACACGTAAGTCTGCCATCCATCTAGGATTTCCTGTTAAGGAACAAAGTAGTTCAAAGTCCCTGGTTATTACTTTAAACCAGCCAAGTTTGTAGCATTTAAATCCACAGGGATGCTCTCTGTTGCGTTAGCTAGAAGTGTGGATGCAGGATAAATGATTTCTTCAACCGTCACATAGGTCCCTGTTAAAAATCCAACAACTCCAATGACAGCTATAAAAACGTCTTTCAATATCGTCCATAAACACAAGTTTTCCTTGTAGAAGGTGAGGATTTCAACCAGAGGTGGCAGAATCAGTGCCAGAGTGCTGCTGCTGACGGCTCCGACGAAAGAAATCACCAGGTCTAGGCGAGGGATCAAAACTGCTACAGCACCTACAACACAAGAAGGGTAATAGTGGCTTCAGGTTCAACATCCTCATGAAAAACAAACACATAACCTAGTGGTTCATGCTTTTTAAACCATTCACTGTTCTTCCAGCTGCAGGTGGAGTATGATATATAGATTAATGCATGTATTTCTGAGTAAGATATATCTTTATGCTCACCGGAGATACTCAGTTTCAACTCTGAATTTCTGCATGAGCTAGCAGAGCTCCAAGTTAAGTTTTCTTGTACTTATAGAGTAAATAAATTAGGCCAGAAAATCATAGAGAAATGAGAAATTTGAAATTGTATGGAGACTTTTTTTTTTTCTGTTGTTGGGTTTTTAAGATGAAACAATGAAGTTCAGGAGGAGCAGGGGAAGGGGCTGCTGCATGCTGCTCAGGGGACAGTGGGCAAAAACATATTGCTATTAATTACTAATAATCTGAAAGTGACATAAAATTATTCAAACTGAACCAAACCCACTGACCCCTTGGCATTCTCACAATCATTTAAGTCACTTTTACCCACAAACTTGTCTCTTGAAAAATCTTGGTTTATACAATTGCATTCAATTTGTAAAATGTCACTAAAATAGTTGCCCAGTTAACGAAACGAGAACTTAGTTCTGCCAGAAGACAGTTCTGGACACAAGGCCTACTAAGCCTTTTAGCTTGGCACGACCAGTCTCACCTCCCGGAACCATTGACACAAACAGAATCCATCCTGTTGGACCAGAACCAGTTCTGGTTTTCACCCCTTTGGCTGCAAGCCCAGGCCAGGTACCCTGGTATTAACTCAGAGACACCGGTTGTCACGTAACGCTCTCAGTCCTCTACTAGAAACCAGCTTTCAAAGGCCAGCTGAGCACAGGCCTCTATATGACCCCCTGTATGTGGTGAAAATGTCTTTTTTTTCCTTCCATGAATAGACCACCTTGTAGCTGTCAGACATTAGTGTAAACATCCACAGCATCTGCCTGCTTGCCATCTTCTGTCACATCTCACTGAGACAAGGAAGCAATCAGAAGAAAGGGAATGGGGAAAACTGGTGTAAAAGTCACCAGCAAATAAAAAATACAGAATCACAGAATGATATGGGGTTGGATGGGACCTCTGGAGATCATCTAGACCAACACCCCTGCCAAAGCAGGTCCGCCTAGAGCAGGCTCACAAGGAACATCTCAAGGCAGGTTTTCAATGTCTCCAGAGAATGGGAGTCCACCACCTCCCGGGGCAGCCTGTTCCAGTGCTCTGCCACCCTCAAAGTGAAGAAGTTCCTCCTCACGTTTAGGTGGAACTTCTCATATTCAAGTTTGTGCCCATTTCCTCTTGTCCTATCGCTGGGCACCACGGAAAAAAGACCAGCCCCGTCCTCTTGACACCCTCCCTTTAAGTATTTATAAGCATTGATCAGATCCCCCCTCAGTCTTCTTTTCTCCAGACTAAAAAGACCCAAGTCCCTCAGCTTCTCCTCCTAAGACAGATGCTCCAGGCCCCTAATCACCTTTGTGGTCCTCTGCTGTAATATATACCATGTAATAGGTTTTGGTTCTTCCATACCACCCTTCTTAAAAGCATGTTTGGCCTTAGAGCAATTGCTCCACCGACCACATATTATGTAGTGAACATTTATGGCAATAAACAAATGGAACAATAAAAATACTCAAATTCTGTCAAGGCTGATGCTTTCCATTGAGAATATCTAACTTGGGGAAAAATACATCAGCAAATGCTCTCAAAATTCACCTGCAGAACACAACAGTTATCTGCTGCTACCAGGTAACCATTTACTATACATTTTAATAAAACCCCTAACTACAGAGATCTCATGTAAAAAAGAGGCAAGATGTTAGGAGCCCATAGAGGGATAAAGGATTCTCCAGCTCATCCTACTTGAAAGAAGCATATCATGCAGAGATCTGCAAAGAAATATCAATTAACTTGGTCTTGCTTGTTACGACTATAGTTTATCAACACTTTGTGATTCTACAGAGATATGAGGGCCACCATGTGGCCAAAGGAAGCTTGGGCAGAGTCAGAGGTGTCCTTCAGGATACCCTGACACTCAAAAATAGATAAGCTGAATTTTTTATCGCACTGTTATGACAGACCTACTCAATGCCAAATGGTTTATTCCATTACATGAATACGACATATAAAGACTCAAAATGTCACATATTTACACATTACCTAGGATGCAGCCAAATGAATTGTGCCAACGTTAATAAAAGTAAGAAAGTACCCACCTCTGTAGCTTTTGTGGCCGTAACTTCCGTAAAGCCACAAAAGCAGCACCATGAGTGCCCAAACCATATAGGATGGGTGCTCAGACCAGACTGACCAGCAAGCGTGCTCGATGCTTCCACAGCGATGCACTGTTCATAAGTAATTGAAAAGTGCTACTGAAGTATATTTGCAATGACTGGTAAAACTCAGCTAAAGACTATGTTGAATGTGTTCTTCTGAAGGAAAAGAGAGGGCTGCACATTTATTATATTGCTAGTTTGATAGATGTAGTGGTTGTATTCATTAAATATTGATTTTCAACTTCTGGAATAGAACTCTTTCAATTCCACATGTGTCCAGAATTTAGAAGGTATTCATTAATTTATAGCGCATAGTTTTCTTTCAAACGTTCTGCTTTATTACAAATAATGCAATACCTTTTTAATTGGAAAAAACCAAAACTACAGCTTATAATTGCTTTGGGTTACAGAAGAGCAAAATGCTATGTGTTTGCTGTGTGCAAAATGCTGTGCAGAAAAGCAAAATGCTGTGATCTCATTAAAAAAAAGTCTGTCTGGCTCATACGAATTTGCCTGAATCTGGATATTGCTGTTGGATGAAGGCTGGAAATGTATTTCAAGGTTTTATTTAGTGTCTTATTTATGCTCTAACAATCCATGAGAAATACACCTCATGTTTATGATCTACCAAAAAATGTCCTCAAGAGTTAAGAAAGGGGTCCAGTTTCCAGAAGTAAACAAGGGGCATTCCTACAGGCAGGGAGTCTGATTTTCCCAGCCACACATAGGTTTTAAAGTACTGAGTCAAGAAGAAATGATGAACCTTTATCAACAGTCATGAAACTTTATAGTTTGGAAGCTCTAGGAATCCCAACTGAAAAAAAAAAAAGAAAAAAAAAAAGTCCTACGGCATCAATATGAGACATATTTATTGGCCAACAGTTAAATTGTCTTCACGCTCAACTGAAAGAGCAAGAGCCATATGAACCTAACATCTCACAGAGATAACAAGAGATTAATTCTACCAATATTCTAAACAACATACTGATTCTACCTTAAACTCTACAGCCTAATCTCAAAAACTAGTAATAATGGATTCTCTGGCCCATCTCAGCCATGGAGTCACCCATTTGTGTCAGCTGGTGCTTTCTTGGGGGAGGAATACTACAGCAGAATGTTTCTATTTTCTTAAGGGACATACCATCCCAGTGGAAAGATGCCCTTAACTTTACTCTGTTTTTATCGTAGTGCTGCTTCTTTTACAACTTTCTCTCCTTGTTACAGAAGCAGCACATTACTAGCCAGACTTGCTGAGGTAATTCCAATGAGATTGCTGGGGGAAAAGAAAAGAAAAGTTTTGACATTTTTAATACTATCCAATCTAAGTACATTATAACTGCAAATTAATTCAAATATGTAACTACCATATTCCAATACTTCCTCTAGTAATCAAATATTGAGCTACTTTATTTATATCAAAAAGTAATGCATATGCCATGCTAGACCCTTGAGCAAGATGGGCACTGCTCTAATTAGCATCTACGGATCAAGTAAAGACTGAATTATAATTTTGGTTCTCTTCACACACAGATAAAAGCAAAACGTATCATGACTTCATCAGGAGGTTTTAATGATATGGCTCACTTAAAAAGCCTTTTTTCCATGTTTCTAGAAGGATTTAATTTATTTAAGACAGAAGGCAATTTTGAAATTTAAAAGGCTAATAATATTGATCATTTTTCCTAAATTTTCCTTTAGCCCAATAATAAAGCTGTTTAGTATTTCTTTACTAAAATCATTATAAGAAATTACTTTCCAGATAGTACAGATTTTAGATTTTAGATTCACCCATAACAAAACAGGTCAGCGGTATTTATGCATGTGCATCTGAAGAAAAGAAGTAATACATACGTTACCAGATCAGCAGTATGGCCCAAACAAATTGTCCTAACAGCAGGTTTTGCATATATACATGGTCAGAAAGACTGAGGGCTTCTTAAGCATGAGAAATGTCAGATTTTACTAGGGAGTGGTAACTTCCCACAGTTGAAGAGCAAAATAATTGTCTCAAGCCACATACAACCAGCGTTCCTCAAAGGCAGTGACAGCGCTGAAGAGGTCCCTGTTCTGCAGGAGGTCAGCATACCCCAAACTTACTCTCTATTTGTACCACTTTTCCAGGACCAAATCAGAAGACCAGAACACTGATGTATTAAAGATGAGTGTCTGACATACATACAATTTCCCAAAAAGGAAAAAACAGTATTATATTTTTAACAGATACCTGTGAAGACTTCCTGAAGATGTGAAGAAGTGAAGACTGCAAAGAAAGACTTCCTTCCAGTAAGAAAAAATGCCTACAATTAAATGCTTGCCAAAGAATTCTTGCTGTAGGCAAAACAAAGCCTGAATCCTCCTTCCTATTCTAATATCCCAGTCTGTGCTCTCTGTCCATCTTTCCTAAATATAGTAGTGCTCAGCCAGTCAAACTGGCATCCTCTTCTTCCCTTCATGCTACTCCATTGCTTCCTGGATCCCCTTCCCTAATGCAGCACTTCTGTACGTTCTTCCAACTCACTCCTCCTTTTCCACAACACTGTTCTCCACGTTCCTTGATTTTTTCTCCTTTACCTCCTAAGAGAATAGAAAACCATTTCTCTGCTATGGACAACCCTAGAAAGCTTAGCAGGTTCGGCTGCGAGGAGTTTACATCTGCAGGCTGGACAACTTAGAAAGTCAGGATATCTACATTTTCTCAAGT